TTACAAGGAACAGACGGCTCCGAAGTAAAGTGCATACCTAACAACAAAGAAAGGTACATGTCCGTAACTGTGGGCAAGCTAAAGTTCTTAGATTCGCAGCAGTTTATGGTGGATTCCTTAGCAAACTTAGTAAGGTATAACACAGAGTTCCCTATTTCCAGTCAATACGGCGCGGAAAGGAAAGGAGTTTACCCATACGAATACATGAGTAGCTGGGACAAGTTTGAAGAGCCCCTACCTAAGGATTTCTACAGCACCTTGACAGAATCTGGTATAAAAGACGAAGAGTACCAGCATGCCTTAGATGTGTGCGAAAAGTACTCCTGTGAGAATATGGGAGAATACCACGACATCTACCTAAGGTCTGACGTTGTGCCGCTTGCCGACGTCTTCCAAAGCTTCCGGAAGATGGCGATGGAATACTACGGGTTGGACCCCGCAAACTTCTACACGGCCCCCGGGCTCAGTTGGAGTGCGCTGCTAAAGAAGACAAACATGCAACTGGACCTGCTAACGGAGTACGACATGTACCGGTTTATGGAAGGCGGTATTCGCGGCGGGGTTTGCGGGCCCAGCAGACGATACGCGAAAGCAAACAATCCCACAGTAGAGTACGACCCAGAGAAGCCAACCACATACATATTTTACTTAGACGCTAACAACCTCTACGGTTGGGCAATGTCGCAGTACTTACCCGTACGCGACTTCGAATGGGACAAAGTGAAGCCGATAGACTTCTACATGCAGGTCGACAAAGAAGCAGAAAAGGGTTACGTTTTGGAGGTGGACCTGGAATACCCGACACATCTACACAACGCACACGACGAGTTCCCACTCGCGCCAGAAGCGATAGAGATACCCTTTACGCAGCTAAGCCCGCTGCAGAGGGAGATGTGTCCCAGCTACAAGCCCTACAGGAAGCTAACTATGAACCTGATGGACAAGAAGAAGTACGTGGTGCATTACCGCAACCTGCAGTTCTACGTGCGACATGGTATGCGGGTAACGCACATACACCGCGTTTTGAAGTTCACGCAGGAGACGTGGATGCGCTCCTACATTGACTTTAACACGCAAAAGCGTACGCAGGCAAAGAATGACTTTGAGAAGAACCTGTTCAAATTGATGAACAATAGCGTATTAGGTAAGACCATGGAGAACATTCGCAAGCGCGTTAGCATAAAGATAGCCAGCACCAGAGAGGAAGCAGAAGCATACGTATCACAGCCTGGATTTGTCAGATACGTAGAAATGTTAAACTTCTACGTGATTCACATGAAGAAAGCAAACCTATTCCTGAATAAACCCGTATACACGGGGTTTACCGTGTTAGACCTATCGAAGCTACTAATGTATGAGTTTTACTACGACAAATTAAAGCCAAAGTACGGTGATAAGTGTCGCCTTCTATACACCGACACCGATTCCTTAATACTAGAGGTGCAAACGGAAGACGTTTACGAAGACTGCGTACCCGACATAAACGAGTACGACACCAGCGATTACCCGCGCGACCACTTTCTTTACTCCGCAAAAAACAAAAAGGTGATAGGTAAGATGAAGGACGAAATGAAAGGAAAACCCATAGTAGAGTACGTGGGGCTAAAACCAAAGATGTACAGTGTGTTAAAGTTAGACGGCGTAGAAAAGAAAGCCAATGGCGTAAAAAMGTACGTGGTTAAGAAGGACATTACGCACGAGTCCTACTTGAAGGTCTTACGAACACGCAAGGAGCAGCGTCACACGATGAACTCCCTGCGCAGCTACGGACATCAAATACACAACGTTACGCAGGAGAAGGTGTCGCTGTCAGCATTTGATGGTAAGAGGTGGATGTGTGATGATGGTATCCATACGATAGCATTTGGACATCACACGATAAGCAGTTCTTCTTTGACGAACCCACGCGTGGGACCATCATGAAGATAATACAAGATGGGCTGACCCTTCTTAGCTAT